CACAATTTATATCATTTTATAAACAGATTAAATCATTCATCGCATTTTCCAATAACGTATTCCAGCATTCTGTTAAATAAAAATTATTAATTTTCCAATCTCATTATTAATTTTAATATAAAAAATTACAGACCCTTCATAATAGTCTCGCAAAATCTCACGAAAGACAATAATTTCCGATAGGTTCCCTGCATGCGCAATCATTAGCCGCTTCGAGAGTCGAACAAGCCCTTTCCGAGGTCGCCTCGTCAATTAGCTCGTTCACACCGAAGCCAGGGCCGCAGAGAGCATGGCTGCTGCAATTGCAGATCTGGCTCCTGCTCACCGAGGTTTTCCTTATCCTGGACCAACCAAACGGCGCCGTTCTGTCCCTCCAAGAGGCCACCAATATCTTCCCGTTGAGTCATCACATTATGTATACGGTATAATAGCTCGAATCTTCTCATTATCGTGAGCCTCTGTGTGTTCGACGATTCAGATTATATGATTCATTCAGAGATTGTTATACAATGTTGATAATCAGATACAATTATCTCTTTATAGCGTGGCCTTCTGCACGAGTACAAGTTGGAGTATACGGAAGCGAAACAATGCTACCAAAATGCTGTTTCAATTAATCCTTCGCACATAAAAAGTCTACAACACCTGGTAATAATTATTGCGCTGCAAATATTAATTTTCATACATATATATTTTTTGTAGTTTTTTGCATTTCATTCAATTTTATAAACTTGTGCGATACTGGATAGAGATTTACAAATCTAATACTTTATCTGATTATTTGCAGGGTCTTGTCTATCACTATTTGGGTAGTCAGAGACTGGCTGAGAAAACCTTGAGGGATGCCGCGAAAATCGATCCAAATTCTCATCAAACTTGGTATTACATGGCCACAAGCCAATAGTCGCTTATTATCTTATAATAATTTCACAACGTTATATCTGATAATCGGGCATTCTGGTAATCGGGTAGTCAATTATCTTAAAAATCACGTTAAATCGAGTGTTGAAATACAAATGGATTTGATACGCGTATCTTATCAATTTCGTTCTTTCAAAAAAAAAAAAAAAAAAAAAAAAAAAAAAAAAAAAAAAAAAAAAAATTTATAATTTGTTATTTATATATGTATATGTATTGTATATGTAAGCATGTCTATTTGCTTATATATTATTATTTAATGTTACGGACGGTACAAAGAGTGTTATATTTTTCAGGTACAATTTGGGAATGGTGTTGGAATCGTTGGGCGAAGTGGAGGCTGCCAGCGATTGTATGGCAACGGCGTTGGAGGTCGAGACGACGAATCCCATTTTACCGATTCTATCGATACCGGTGACCTTTGAGTGATTCAGTCTCTTAGGGAGATTCGACGAAATCACGATTTACTTTTACCCTGTATGTTCGTATTTCCGCGGGCATTTCCTCGCCTTCCCGTCAATAGTACCTGGACACATTGTACTATTGTATAAACTCATTGTTAAAAGAAAAGAAGAAAAAAAAAGAGATACTTTAATTGTACAAAATAGTTACAATCGATGTAATAAATTCGAATAAAAGTCTTACCTCTAAAACAATTTCGCGGAACGTGACGTACGTAGCTCTTCCGTGGAAAGATCCTTTCGCGGTAGAGTAATCCTAAGACTTTTTAATTTAGAGCTGTGTGAGCAGCGGAGTCGACCGCATGTCCCGCCGCATTGTGGATACGATAAATTTCAAATACCTATATTCCTATCCGATACGAACTTGTGCAACTCGTGCAATAGCGGCAGTCACCGTTTTATATTTACATATTTCTTCATACACCCGGGCGACGCGCAGAGGTCTGCGACGAGGAAACGACGTCTAAACATCGGTAGATTTTCTGCGCTTGCAAAACGTTCGTGTCGACGGCGGCGGCGGCGCCGCGCACGCTTCTATTATTCAGAGCTATTATTTCGATTATGTACTTTATCGTCGTCTTAAAGCCCGTCGCGAGATTGTCGCATTCATCGTTTTCGGGCAATCCGATCTCGCAGATGCGGCAGTGCGCATACGTGATGGCCCAATTTGCGCGCGATGCGCAAGCACATATTAAGTACACGTATAAATGCGAAAGCGTACGTATAGATACGTACGTTTACAGGTATAAGCGGACGCACGGATGGACGGGCGGACGGTTCAGATCGGAAAAGTCTGATGTAATGCCTCTCTAAAAATGTAGTAATTTATTTTTTAGAAATCGATAAAGGGTGAGATTTTATCGGGGTGGCGCGCGACGGTCGATCTCCGTTTTCCCTCTGTCTATCCATTCTTTCTCTCCCTTTCTGTCTCTGGCGAGTAAAGGAATCGACGTCTTCTTCTCTCTTTTTTCCCTCTCCTTCGATCGTCGAGGGAATACATACATACATACATTAGCACGCGCGACGCGTAATAACGGCTGTATATATAGAACGCACGAATGACAGTCGCGTTATCGTTAAGAGGTAGCTATTTTCTTTTGTGTAATCGATATAATAATGTTATACATGCATGGCCTGGTTTCGCGCAGGGAGCTCGGGGGAAAACGCCTTGGTGGAATCGCCTTCCGCGCCGGGAGGGTCGGCGCGTATTGACGCGTATGCGGAGGCACACGGCACACGGCCGCTCTCGCGTTTCCTTCTCTAATTTCAAATTACATCAGCCGGGAAGTCATTAAAGAGATACGGCAATTTTCCGGCTGGTAGTAAAGTCGCGGAAACTAACGAACGGCTCCAGCGAGGAGCCTAGAAAATTAGCGTCTTCTGGAAGTAGTCGTCTCTCTTCTTAGGTCTCTCTTTTTTTCGACCTTTACTAAGATTCATTATTTAAGATTCTTATCATAAATTAACGTTAAATCTCTCGTTTCTGAGAAGTTGAACCGAGGGTACAGTGTGCTAGGGTAGTACTGCGTCGTAATATTAATTATTGCGTCTCGGGGTAATCCATAACGCGAATTTCGCGTCAGCGACGGGCAGACTCACGCGATTGTGTATAGTAAGAGGACGACAAGAGAGTCTGGAGGGAAACGATATCGGCCCTCGCGGGCGCGAATTTAAATTACACAGGACGCGAAAGACAAATGTTTAAATACGTAATGGAGATGCATATTACCTACACGTCGCGGCGTCGCTTCGAGCTGAACGAGCCGGCGAGACGCGGCTTTATATTCACCGGCTCTCCTCCGCACATTTATACGTGTTTAAAAGCTATATCCATTCTCTGCCCGATACTATAACCCACATTGCAAGTATTCTTTAAATAAAGAATACTATGAGCTCGCAGCAATCTATATGATACGTGTGTGCGTGTGATGTGCTCCGTTGTGTACCTTTCTCTCTGTGTATTGCGCATCTCTCTCTCTCTCTTTCGCTCTCTCCTTTTTATATTTACATTCAACGTCAAAAACATGCAGCTCGCGTCCCACCCTCGGTCGAACGTCGCTTTCAACCGGAGATCGAAACAATTTGAAATTTCGACGGCACGTTTCCGCCGAGATTCGATATTCGACGCAACGACGGAAAGGGTCTTTATTATCGCCGAGCGAATCGCGATACGCGAATATCGCAGAAATTTTTTCCCGCCTCCCCTATTTTTTTTTCTCTCTCTCTCTCCCTTAACACGCCTGGGTATTGGGATATATTGCGCAACAAACGGAATTCCATTTTCCCTCTCTGTCCTCGTCGGCGATCCGTAGCCGCGTTCCTCCTTCCCTCCACTCCCTTCCTACCCTCTCTCTCTCTCTCTCGCTCTTTCGCGCAAGGACGCGAGGAATATCAATT